AGAGAGAAGAGAGAGAGAGAAGAGAAGAAAGAGAAGAGAAGGAAGGAGAAAAAGAAAGAAAAGAAAAAAGAGAAGAAAAAGAGAGACGACAGAAAAAAGAGAAAGAGAGAAAGACCGAGACTGAGAGAGAGAAAAAAATCCCCCAAAGACCACCAAACTGCCAGCGACCGACGAGAGCGACCGACCGCCGACGCCTAATTGTCGTGACAAGCAATTGCCGTCGTCCTCGTCCGGGTCGTTCACCCTGGGCGGACGGGGGGGGGGGAGGGAAAGGGGAAGAGGGGAAGAGGAGGGGGTAGAATGGAAATGGGGAGAGGAGGATGGGAGAGAGAGAGAGAGAGAGAGAGAGAGAGAGAGAGAGAGAGAGAGAGAGAGAGAGAGAGAGAGAAGAGAGAGAGAGAGAGAGAGAGAGAGTGGGAACAAAAAGGGAGAAAGGGAACGAGAGAAATTGTAGGAGAAGACAAGAGGAGAAGAGAAACAAGAGAAAAAGAAAGAAAGACATAGAGAGGAGAGTGGAAAGTGGAAAAGCAGAGAAAAAGAGAAAGAGGGCGGAGCGTCCCACCGCCCCCTCCCCCCTCGTCGCCTGTGACTGTTCGACCCCGCCGTTGGAAGCGCCAGTGCGGGATGCTTCTGTCGGGGGGGGGGGGGGTGTATGTAGATAGGGCGCACGCATGAATACACAGAGGAGCGTGTCTTGCGAGGGAATGTGTTTGTGTGGGTGAGAAAGAGAAAGAAAGAAAGGCAAATACAACACACACACATGTATAAATAGTTGTATGTAATAAATAAATATATATATATATATATATATATATAATATATATAAATACATACATACATACATATACATTATATATAATGCATTTATATATGATATACTAAATATATACAAAGAAGTATCTATTTTTGTATTTGTTAATCTAATTGTATGAACATACAATAAAGATCTATCAGATTTGTCTATATTTGTTAATCAGTGTACATGTCTGTGTGTCCGTGTACATTTGTGTGCACGCTTGTCCACGACCGCAAGAGGAGGAAAGCACTTCAGATTTTTTTTTCTCTTTTTTTCTCTCGCTCAACCTCACGGATCCGCCCGCCGCTCGCCGCCGGAACGTTCTTGTGAAAGCAAAAATCCCGCTCGACCTCCGGCGTGGAGCGGCGTCGAGGAGCCAAGGTCACCGGGCTTCTCGGGCGCGCGTTTTTGGCTTCGCTGGCTTTGTTCTGGGGCTTCGCTTTTTCTCGTTTTTTGTCGTTTTCGGTCTTTGGGTTATCGGGTTTCGGGATTTTTTTTTGTATAGGGTTTTGGTGGATGCTTCTATGGCTGTGCAGTGTTTGATTTTCGGATAACTGGGTTTTTGTGTTATGGATTGTATTTTGTCCGTCAGTCTGCATGACTGTCAATCTCTTCCCTCTTTTTTCCTCTCTATCTATCTACCCATCTACCTATCTCTTTTTTCTTCCTCCCCTCCTCTCTCTCTCCTCTCCTCTCTCTCTCTCTCTCTCTCTCTCTCTCTCTCTCTCTCTCTCTCTCTCTCTCTGTCTCTCTCTCTCTCTCTCTCTCTCCCACAGCAACCTTAGTAATTATAATCATCAGTGATAATCAATTATCAATGACAATCATAACTACATCTTACATCATCATAACAGCAATACTTATCGTTATAGTTATCGTTACGCGCAAAAAGGAAACAAGTACAATGTACGAAACGAGATTTTTTTTCCTATTATAAGACTTAAAACTGGATCAATATTGTGCAAGGTGGCTGGACTGCTTCCTTGTTCAGCCTCGTAAATGCAGTCCTTCTGGGAACCGGCTTCAGGAATGTCTATGGCGGGAAGGATATAGATAGGGTGCGGATAACTGTGCGTGCATATATATATTTATTGGTAGTTCACCTATGTTTCTCTCTCTCTCTCTCTCTCTTATTTATATATATATATATATATAATATATATATATATATATATATATGTATATATTATATATATATATATAATATCTCTTTCTATCTCTCTCTCGTTCTCACACTCTCTCTTAATCCTTCTCTCTCTTCTCCTCTCTCTCCCTTCCCCTCTCTCTCTGTCTCACGCCACGCACACACACACACGCACAAGCACACGCACAACACAACACATATACACACTTTCACTCTCTCTCCCTGTGTTTGTGTTGTGTGTGTGTGTGTGTGTGTGTGTGTGTGTGTGTGTGTGTGTGTGTGTGTGTGTGTGTGTGTGTGTGTGTGTTGTGTGTGTGTGTGTTGTGTGCACAGACATTCCTACATACAACTCCGCACATATACAAATTTCACCAAATTCTTACAGAAGAAAAAAACAATGCTCTAGACCGACAAACATGTTTATTTACGATTTGAATTGTATAAATCATGTTGTTCATGTTTATGCTAATGCAAGAGAGAATAATTAGTGGAAATGCAAGTTAAAGAAGAGTTAAAGAGTTATTGTAAAACGACGAAATAGGAAAACAGTGATAATTGAA